TATTAATAACTGTGGAAGTGCATCTTAGAACACTAAGTTGAGAGCACGCAATAAGCTAATATGCGCTAAGCAATAAGCTTGAAATGCGAACAAGAAGAAAGAAGAAGTATATTAGAAGCATTTTCAACAAGTTTGCAATCTAAATAATGGGAAATATTCCCAAACAAACGGTGGTCCATCTCGCCCCGTACGAAAGTCTTGCCCCTATCTACCCTAAGCCAATCCAGCCTTCTTTAGGAAATCCTAGACGTGCAGGTTTATCCTCCTTGATCTTCATCCTCCTTGATGCAAAAAAAAAAACCCATTTTGTCTTAATAGGCAAACCATCGCTTGGGTAAACATCGTTTTCTTTCTTAGAGTTGAGTTCGTCTTTCACAGCTTGAAACCCGTTTCTTCCATCAGGGCGGCCAAAAATCACAGCGAAGGTTTCAGGTACGTCGGAGAATGGGCATTCCAGTTCGTTGACTGATGAGTGTTCATCAAAGGCTAGAATTGCATCTATTGAGCTACATTGTATAGCAGTTACAATTCATCCGGTGAAAAAAAACCTTTCCACTCACCGGGAATCCTGCGTTCGCTGTGCTTTATGGTTGCCATAGCAAGGTTCGAACCAAGTTCTTGTTGCGAAGGGAGTGCTGCCGGAAACGAGGGCTGCACACCATCATCCTTGCCACGAGACTCGTCATCAGAACTCCACGATGCACTAGATCCAACACTCTGGTTCAGGTTTTCCTCCTCTGGCTCGGCTGGTGGTGCAGTCTTCAAACTTGCTTCACTTTGATGGTCACCGTTGGATTCAACTTCCTGATCGTAAGGTACAACCAACAATGAATTCGAAACTAACGATTTTAAATTGGCTCACTACTTGACTAGCCTATTGGTCCCAAGCAAACGATTAACCTATCCCATTCTTGTAGAAATTCTAGTACTACACTATGTTTGTTTTGATTCGCTATGGAAGTTTGACAGATTAAATGAGAGGTTAGTGGATTTTCCTATGTTTTGAGGAGTGAATCGATTAGCTTGGGACCGAAGAGAGTACCAGAGCTGAGCCAAAACAGTTGAGCACGTTTCTTCGGGACTTTCTGGTCTTAGAGTTACCTCTATGGTACAACTGTAAGCGGCACTTCTTAGCAAACGGAAAGCAAAATATTTGTCGAATTTAACATCTCTGGAGATAAACAGCCACATCCCATAAGCGATAGCGATAGACATTAGGAGCATATACATATTACCATCACCGCAGATATACCACCGACGAAGTTCTACTCTTATACCATTGACAGACATACAAAGCAGTACCGTTGTACTCCTTTAATCGAGTACGTCAAAATGTACAATTTGAAGTACAAGCTTAAAGAAGTACAACGGTAGTACAGCAGTGTACTTTGTATATCTGTACAAGGTATTAGGGTCTAGCTTCTTTCTCTGTTGCGATGTTATCCAAGCACCCAAACACTCAAAGTTTTGCCAGATAAGGTTTGTGATTCATCCAAAGCTCCACAGGAATCTTCCTATAAGGTTTTGCACCGTCGGGGTTAACCTCAATCAGATGACAGTTCAGTGGTACTGTTTACGGTGGTACGACATTGCAGAATTGTGATTTGCATCTCACTGCAGTTTGAAAAATTATCGAGAAAATCTACCCATGAAAAAATCTTTTGGTTAAAATTTGACAGATGAAAAGTTATCGATTAACCCTGCTATCCGAGCGTGGTTACTTCTGACAGACAAGAAGTTAAATTTTGACGACCGTGGCTTGAAAACCGGTCGATCGACAGCACAGGGATTTTCGAACATAGAAAATAACTTTCGAAATGTCACTTTTAACCATGAGTTAAATTTAACTCGGCAAATGGTTCACAGCCTAAGGCTCTGAACCATTTGGTGGATTATTTTATCTTTTGGTTGAAATTTGACAGATGGAAAGTTATCGATGAACCCTGCTATCCGAGCATGGTTATTTCTGACAAACAAGAAGTTAAATTTTGACAACCGTGGGTTGAAAACCGGTCGATCGACAACACGGGGATTTTCGAACATAGAAAATAGAGCCTTAGGTTGTGAACCATTTTCCGAGTTAAATTTAACTCGTGGTTAAAAGTGACATTTCGAAAGTTATTTTCTATGTTCGAAAATCCCCGTGCTGTTGATCGACCGGTTTTTGAGCCACAGTTGTCAAAATTTAACATCTTGTCTGTCAGAAATAACCACGCTCGGATAGCAGGGTTGATGGATAACTTTCCATCTGTCAAATTTTAACCAAAAGTTAAAATAATTCACCAAATGGTTCAGAGCCTAAGTTCGCGTAAACAGTACCACTGAACTGTCATCCATGCCGGTGCCGGTGGTGTAGTGGTAAGCGTGACTGCTTTCTAACACCCCGATGGGTCTGGGTTCAATCCCAGCCGAGGTCGGTGGGATTTTCCTGAGGCAAAAAATCTCTGGTCACGTCTTCCTTCGGAAGGGAAGTAAAGCCGTTGGTCCCGGCCCATGTGTGTTGAATGGGTGCGATATCCTACGCAGGTGTGGAAAGCTTCCTTCCTGCACATTCGATTGCCGTCAATGATTGGCACTAGATTGCGGAATAGAGACCGACGTTAAATAAAGGAAGAAAATGAACTGTCATCCGATTGAGGTTTACCCCGGCGGTGCCGAGGGGGGCGACACATCTAAATCTCAAATTTAGATGCTCAATAAATCTCACACTAGTGAATAAATCTTCGAAAAATCTTCTTTCATTTCTTGAAGGCGAACCAGCCGAAGGCTGAAAGCCTCCCTAATAAAGATAAATAATAATAATAATTCTTTCATTTCTCGCATCTACTTGCATCGCGTCATCTTTTTGCAGGAAGTCTTCAAAATCGTGATAAATCTTCTTTCTATCTACTCAGCGTACGCGCAGCTAGCCACAGCAAAACCTCGAGCAAAACACAATATTTCCTGCATCGTAGATAGAGTCGTCCCCCTCGGGCGGTGCAAAATCTTATAGACGAGTGCACGGATGGATTTGAGGTCAGTCACTCGAGAAAAAGTGGCACAAGCTGCGGGCAATATTTAGGCTGTGAACCATTGGCCGGGCTAAATTTAACTCGAAGTTAAAAGTGACATTTCGAAAGTTATTTCTTATGTTCGAAAATCCCTGTGTTACCGATCGATCGGTTTTCAAGCAGAACAACTCAGCCGCTGTTGTCAAAATTTAACTTCTGTTCTGTCAGAAATAACCACGCTCGGATAGCAGGGTCAATCGATAACTTTCCATCTGTCAAATTTTAACCAAAAGTTAAAATAATCCACCAAATGGTTCAGAGCCTTAATAATCATGAACACTAATGGTGGTAAGCTCCACCTCGCATTAAATTTTAATAACCTGTTTGGATGATCTGCCAAATGATTGCTTAGAATCTCTGATGTCGACGTCAAAGCAGTTGCATATTCTTGATCGAGATTTAATCCGAGTATAATACCGGTTGGAGCTTACTATCATAAATGTTCGTTATTCAGCACCAACCGGTATTATCCTCGGAATAAATTCAGATCACAAATGACAGTCTATTTTGTTGTAGGCGTCGATGTTAATCAATACCATCCATGACAAACATTTGGCAGATCTTCCAATCAGGGATGGTATTAAAGGTTAATCCACCTTGGAGCTAACCACCATTAGTGTTCATGATTAGTAAACATTGCCCGCAGCTTGTGCCACTTTTTCTCGAGTGAGTGAACGCAAATCCATCTGTAAACTCCTCTATTGACATGACAAATGCACGGAATGAATTAGTTTCATTTAAACTTCCATACTCCACATTCTGATTTATTTTGCGGAAAACGGAAGAAGGAAATATTACGCAAACCACAAAACAATACAAAACTGTACAACATCTAAATCTCAATTTTGGATGGTCGAAAAATCTCACGCTAGCAAATCAATCTACGAAACATATTTTTTCATCTCCTGCATCTAAATCCATCTACTCGCATCGTTCTCCATCTTTTTGCAGGAAATCTTAAAAATCTCCATCAATCTTCTTTCCATCTACTAAGCGTGCGCGCATCTCACAACAGCAAAGCAACATTTTCCTGTCTGCATCTTAGGCTGTGAACCATTTGCCGAGTTAAATTTAACTCGTGGTTAAAAGTGACATTTCGAATGTTATTTTCTATGTTCGAAAATCCCCGTGCTGTTGATCGACCGGTTTTCGAGCCACAGTTGTCAAAATTTAACTTCTTGTCTGTCAGAAGTAACCACGCTCGGATAGCAGGGTTAGTCGATAACTTTCCATCTGTCAAATTTTAACCAAAAGTTAAAATAATTCGCCAAATGGTTCAGAGCCTTAGATAGAGGTGCCCCTCTCGAGCACAACGAAAAGCTCTTTGATGACATGAACATTTTTCATGGATGCCAATAAGAGCATTTATGGTTGCCAAAACAACTTTTTGTGCCTCCGTGTGGAATGTACAGTATCTATAGTTTACCCCTATCGTATTTAAAAAAATTACGCTCTTTCCGAAATAAATTTTAAATTAATTATTATAACCAAGAATTACGGGCAGTTTTAAAACTTTGACTAAAATTCCGGGGAAGGAAATGAAGTCGTTTCATAAAATCTAATTAAATTATGAAATTTTATAATGGAAACACACATGCACTGAAAGCCGGACATTCGTTTAATCTGAACTTTTTTTGTTTTATTAAATATTGCATCAACTATACAGCATGACAAACTTGGAAAATACTACAGGGCCATCGTAAAAGTTACGTGCTAATTAGAGCTTGGTTTCTCATTTATAACTAACTTTTTAAAGTGTTCGGAATGGTTAGGCTTTGAGGTACAGTTTTACACACTTTATGTAGCTGGGACTTTGCGCCGACATTCTAAAATTAAATGCTAATTCTCAAAAAATCTCGAAAGTGCGATTAATTAGTTTTACACATCTTCAATTACCGTCTTTCCAACCAGTCGTTCTTATATCCCTTTCTTATCTATTTTCCTCACCAGCAATCACCCCCTTCAAGTGTCCGCTGTGCAGTTTGGCATTTATGCGGCAGGACTATTTGAAAAATCACCTCAAGAAACACATCGAAGACAACGGCGAGGACCCGGGTGCCCCCGGGGCCATCGATACTTCCAATCTGTCCTTCAGCACGGCGCCCTTTGCGAGCACAACGGTCACGAGCAGCTCGACGACGCCTTCGGTGTCGCTGCTGAAGCCGCTCAGTGCTCGTCCACAATCCACTGGAATCTCGTTGCTCAAGCCACCGGAGGAGCGGAAACCACCCGACCAACAGGAGTACTGCATCCGCACCGAAGATGGTAAATTTATGTGCACTGCCTGCGAACGGGTTTTCTCCCATCAGCAAACCGTTCGTATCCACTACCGAATTCACACCAACGAGAAGCCCTACAAATGTAGTCACTGTTCGGAATCGTTCATCCGGTCGGACTACCTGGAAAGGCACATGAAAATCCACTGGAAGGACGGTAATCCGATGGTGATTTTGCCCCCAGTGGTGACGAAAGGTTCATTTGCGGGCATCGGGATGTCAGACAGTAGTGACTCCATGAGTCCCCAAAAACCAACCATTGGTCGAGCCGGTCTACTGCCAGAAAACTACCACTTTGTGGATGCTGGAGATGGTCAGTATGCATGTAAGATCTGTGATCAAGTATTCAACCACAGTGACTCACTGCGGAAGCATGCCCTCACCCACACGGAGGAGAAGCCATTCTTTTGCGACGTTTGTGATCGATCGTTCAATAGGGTCGACTATCTGAAAGAGCATTTTAAGTCGAAAAGACATAGACAGGCATTGGCCGAAGCGAATGGCGAGATGTTAGATGATGATGACGATTCTACGACGGATATGAGTTACACTAGTAGGATGGCTAAGATCAAATCACCCATCAGTCCTATGACGAATGCCCTGGCAGATAGAATAGAGTTTCAGAAGACCGGTGATGGACGGTACAAATGTTCCGAGTGCGATAAGACCTTTGTGACCGCCGTGACCCTGAAGATGCATCTTCGGCTACACACCGGAGAAAAACCGTACAAATGTGACAAGTGCGACATGGCATTTATTCGTTCCGATTATCTGAAAACGCACGAGAAAATCCACCGACAGGAGGCGTTCATGAGGCGACGGCAGATGACAGGCGAGGGACACTTTTCATCGGAAGATGGGTCGAACGATGGTCTTATGCAGCAGGTGGAACCACTGGCAGATTTCCATGGGTTGTTGAATCTGAAGACAGATCCGGATGTGGAAGTAGGTGGGACGATTGTCGAGGATGGCGAAGTGAATGGGGAAGAGGAACAAGAAGATGAGGAAGAAGAGAGCGAGGATGAACAGGTGAGCGGTGGTAACGGTCGGCATCCAAATTGGGTGTTTGTAGCTTTAGAATGTTATTTTGAACTGACGTTCCTAATTCATGTTCTGTTACTTTCAGGTCATTGAAGTGATGGTAAAAGAGGAGGATTCCGACGATGATGACGATGACGATGATGAAGAAGAAGACGAAGAGGAACAACAGGAAGGGTAAACAATTCACTGGTTTGAAAATGCAGTTATTTTTGCAAAGCTTGTTTCCGTACTATTGTAGTGAAGAGGAACGGGACCGTCCGAATGAGGAAGATGAAGAAGAAGAAGAGCATGAGAACAACAATAGCTACGAGCACGAAGAAGACAACATATCCCGAGCGAGTGAAGGCGTTAATTCCGAGCCATCCGGTCCAAAATCAAAGCACCGGTGCCACATATGCAAGAAAGAGTTCGCCTGGCCAAAGTCGTTGAAAATCCATCTACGAACGCATACCGGTGAGCGGCCGTATGAGTGTGACGTGTGTGGCAAAAGCTTTACACGTTCGGACAGTCTGAAAGCTCACAGAAACACCCATGGCGATGTTCGGGTACTGCAGTGTCATCTGTGTGAGGCTAGTTTTCTCAGCGATAGCGGGCTGATACAACATCAACAGGAAGAACATGGCATTGAACCACTGGATGGCTATTGAATCCTCAGAATAAACCGTCGAAGGTGACCCACCCATTCTACTTCTGCTTTCAAACCGAGAGAGCTGCACCAGGTTTGATTGGATTGGTTTTATTCACGTACACCTACACCGAATTACAAACAAAAATGTATAAACTGAGGAAATAATTCCGTTATTTCTATAATAGTAGTGTGTAATGTACAAAAAAGGAATGTAGTTTTTAAATATTTGATTTTTATGGTTTAAAGTGATAAAGAACGCTATGGAAGCGTCCGAAGTAAAAGTAGACGGTATAAGTAGTCGTTATGCCGCACCGGTGTAAAGACAACATTCTTCTTGTTGTTGTGAGTGGATGGTAAAAGTCTTGAAAACATGATCCAATTTTTACGTTTGCTTTTAAAGCCATCTTCCGCTGTTGTTTTGTGTTAGGCGAGTCTGGACAGAGCACCTGGCATTATTCTTTATGTCTCTTTAGTTTTTAATCAGCAGCAGTATGCAAACAATAATATGGAGAGCAAACTTGATTATGCATAAGTTTCCCTACATACATTGCCTACTTATGCAAAACACAATCCCAACATGTTAGTTTATTCACCGAGTATGTATATTTGTTTCGATTGTAAAATGGTATCTCGTTTAACAAAGTGATTGAATCATCTTATCTTAAGAGTTTCGTATGGCGTAATGCTTGTACCTACGTATCGTGATTTATCCGAAATCCTTTTTGACACTGGGATGTTCTTTCTGAGGTGACTCATACGACGGTTCGCAGTTGACCTGACCGCTGTGAGCAATCACGTGTTGACGATGCAAAATATACATTTAAACAAAGCTATTTTCAATGGGAAAGATCTGTCAGTTCAAAAGTGAACTGTCAAAACTTCTCGGTAAACAAAAAATCAGCTGGCCGCTGCTGTCTCATGGAATGCCTTATTGATTGTGGGGTTCAATTTTAAAGGGTTGTGCTTGAGATATTGTAGAGAGGGTTCACCCAGAAAAATCAATTTTTGGTAATTTTTTTTCATTACTAACTCAAAAATGTATTTGGATGGTGAGAATGATTCCGTAAAAAACGGATAACTACTAGGGCAGAGCGTTACTCCATCGTAATCGCCCATTTCCGTTCTATACAGCAGAAAACATCAATAATAGGAGTTGGTTGGAAATGCTATCTAACATGAAGCTTTTGTGTGATAATTTATTAGCTGGAGAATGGTCTTTAGGAGAGGGTAGGTAGATAGCTCCGACCCGTTAGAGTATGGTACGCAACAACCACCTTACTGCTTTCTCTCTGAGATGACCACATTGGTCATGACGAGAAGAACAACACAATAGTTGGGTAAAGAAGGATTGCATTATAGCACACCATCGACTAGAAATGCTTTCGGCAACGTGGGGCTTTAGGTAGTGATGAAACGTCGCTAGAACTATTCCACAGTCGAAGACAGTAATGAGCAAAGGCGGGCGCACACTTTTTGCCTGTAGATTGGAAGACACTTTAAATCTCCGCGTACACATCGTACGAGTTAGGTAAAAGGTGTGCGTTTGACTTTGTACTGTCGCATTAATGACCCTTCGCTCATTTTCAATTTCTATTCAATTTTCATACTGCCGTACTCTAACGGGCACTATCTACCTACCATCTCCTTGAGAACATTATCCAGCTAATAAATTATCACACAAAAGCGTCATGTTAGATAGCATTTCAAACCAACTCTGAAAATCGCAAACTTCGCGTATGAAGTAACATAAAACACTTTGAATCAATAATAGGGGAAATGGATGTAATGTCGGCCTAAATGCCCTTAATTTGGACCCATACATTAATTCAGCAATCGACTGAATTTTCAATAGCGACCAAAAATATTCATTAGTACCGGACTAATGACGCGTTCATCTAGATAAAATTGATAAATAGCAGATTTTTAGCGATGGGCCCAATCTTAGATCCATATAGGCCAACATTAGAGCCATTTCCCCTATCTATTATTTCACCGTGCACAAATCAATCATACGTTAGTTCCGATGCGTTAGTTCATAACCTAAAACACAAAGTCTATTAAAGCGCATTGTATGAATATTTGCACTCATTGTACTCAAAGCAAAAGAAGCACTCCTACACTCAAAAAATAAATCACATTTCCGATGGAAAATATCCATTAGAATTTCACATAACCTTCATGTGATCTCATAATTGAAAATCGCACCACGAAATCACATGAACCTTATGTGTCCAATGAAGTTTATGTGATTTATCACATAGAATTCATGTTATAACATAGAATATGAATGTTATGTGAATTTCAGGTAAAAATCATTAATTTTGTTATTGGAAAAATATATTGTGCGTTCCCAATGGAAACTAAATGAAAACTTTTTTCAGTGTAGCGAACCCACTTTTTCTACGAAAGCGTTTCAATGCGTTAGGATGCAGAATTGAAAATCAGGACGATTTTCGTTGGCGAGCGTTGGCCAAATTTGGATTTTTTTTTAGATATAATCCTAAATAGGACCTAGATTATTTAATACTCTAGTAACCTAAAGAAAGGGAACTTGGAGTGTAGAGCGCACTGCCCACTGGATGATTCTGAAGCCTGGCCAAGTGAGTGGGGTATGGGTTTATTTGATTGAACGTCATTTCCAATGTATATATTGATACATTCAAACCATTGGCATTTGAGATAAGACAGAGATAGGATGCGCAGGGCCCGCTTAGGAGAAGCGTAACCCATGTTATGGTTTCCATTTATTAAATAGTTCAGATAGGCTAGAAACGAAGACACCAAATCAAGAAGACTGACAACTTTGCCAGAATCTAAGCGACAGATGCAGTAGCGCTGCACTTGACTGAAGGTGGAAGCAACGCATAGAAAAATGAACAAATACACAAACCCTTCTTCTGAGGATGTAATCTTTGCTATCAAATTCGTTCGAAGCATTTACCTTTGAGCGGCAGATGACGCGATTGTACCTGTCTCATAGCGTTTGTATGAGAAAATGGAAGAGTTGCCAGTCTTCTTGATTTGTTGTCTTCGCTAGAAATGACAGGTTTAGTGAGAGAATGTACCATATTGGGAAAGCATAATTTTCATAGGGTTCAGAGCGGCTGAGCTGTTCGTTTGTAGTTTGACCAACAATCAATACGAAACTAACGATTTTAAATTGGCTCACTACTTGACCAGCCTATTGGTCCCAAGCAAATCGATTAACATACTCCATTCTAGTAAAAATTCTAGTACTATACAATGTTTGTTTTGATTCGCTATGAAAGTTTGACAGATAAAATGAGGGGTTAGTGGATTTTCCTATGTTTCGAGGGGTGAATCGATTAGCTTTGGACCAGAGCTGAGCCAAAAAGTTGAGCACGTTTCTTCAGGACCTACTAGTCTTAGAGTTACCTCTATGGTTTGACTTTCCTTCAAAACCAATTTGGCTCTAGAACAATTTTAAACTTGTTCTGCATTATTCACATGTTGCAATTATTGAAAAGAGCTCGATATAAGATAGCCACAGAGAACAGACGTTGAGGCTCCAAAATTTCTCTAAAAACTTATGTAAAGATTCCTATTCGACTTAAGCGCCACTAACGGCGACTTCCTCACTTAAAAACCCTCTTTGACAACATGATGGCGCTGGCCTTGCAAAACTTACACTAGACACTAAGTGCTGGTAGCGCCAAGTGGCAAATTGCTCGAAAGTGATACATTTATAGCGGAAATCAGGAATATTTATTTCCATTTCGTCAAGCCAGTGTAGACTACATACAATGATTATTACAATGTTTACTTACATACTATGCATTAATTCTATTCTGTTTTAGCTTAGTTTGTATTTGCTGCTTGGACATAGTGATGTCAATAGTTCCGCAATGCAAATTATATATAGGCGCATCATTCGATTGATTGGGCTATTTTTTGCATAGTTTGTTCTGTACGATGTTTCTGAAAATAAATTCCGGAGATGCTAGCGCTACGTAACGGCAACGTTTCCACTTAACTTTACACATGTTTCTGACCGAACTTGGACGTCTGGTCTCTGTGAGATAGCTTAATACAATTAAATAGAAATGCCAAAATCTTACCGAGTAGCTTAGCTGTTCTGTTTCGGTACAGTTTGTTGAGGTCGGGTATAGTTTCTGAGTATGGATGCCCATTTTGAAATAACTCATATTAGCACAGAGTAATAGTTTTATTGCTAGGGAACTTTCTTTTGGGATCGTCTTTTCTTCATACAATTCGCATTATTCATACTATATTAATCATGATCAGTCTTAGAAAATGTTATATGTTTAAGCCCCGTTCTAGATTTGTTTGTTATTCATATCTTATGCATTGCAGCTTGCGAGAGGTTACCAAATATGGGTTCTTTTTCTCATCCACAATAGTTTGGGGGGAGGGGCGATCTGAGAGCTGAATAGAGGCAAAAAAAATAGGGAACACAACATCATGACCCAAACGACTAACCAACGCATGCGGCTCATACTTAACTTGTTCTATTTCTTTCTTCCTCTCATGTACCAATATTACCTACCTGAGAACAAATGGGAACACGGCCAGATTTTCAATAGGAAGAAGGAAAAAAGCGAGAAAACGTAAGAGAGTAAGCAGTCAGAAAGGATTAGACCATTTGGAAACAGCCAATTTATACTGGACGGAACTGGTAAGTAGGATAAGAATTGTAAAAGGTGTGTGCTTGCATGATTTACCTATTATAGAATTACCTATAAGCCACATGAGAACCTCATTTCCTTCAATTACTACTCCATTGCAGCACACATCTAATAATGATCACTAACATTCATATAGTTTCAGCATTATCGACATTTATAATCAAAAGGTGAGTTGTTCAGTTAATGTACCAGAACCTGGACGGACACGAGCCTACCCAGGGGAGGACCCGGATACGACCACCCATGTGTGTCTAGAGTATCGCACGAGCTGACGAGTGCAACGGGAAGGACAGTAGGTGTATAGGCTAGGGGGTTAGTCCCTAGATAGCGCCAACTTAGCAGTTGGCACAGCCTATACACTGAACAATTACAATTACAATTACAATTACAATTACAATTACAATTACAATTACAGCATTTTTTGATGGTTGTTGGCTCAGTGGGTTGTTGTTCTTATGTGTCTACGCGGTGCGGTCTAGTTGTGCAGTCACTGTTGTTCTGCCACACGGCGTATGGTTGCACCGTACGGCATATGGTGGATAAATTATGAACAGTATGGCCCTTATTACGGGTGTCACTTCACGTTGAAACCGAAGTGAAGTGACCAGTTGTCGCTAACGGTGTAATGATTGCGGTGTAAATCAAATGGGAATCACTTTACCGTCACTTCACTCACCATGAAGTGACATCGGTAATAAGGGCCTATGTAGGTAGGGTTACCATATCAAAAACTTGAAAAGGAGGACATTTCATTTGAGGTTTGGAGATTAAGGAGGACAATGATTCCTTTTCTTAACATTAAAGTTTAACATTGAGTTTTTTTTACTACAATAGATCAAATTACTGGTCGCGGTGGTGTTATGTCCCGAACAAAGGAAAAAAAAACATTGAGTTTTTATCAAACGTTTTAATAATATGTGCGCTATCACAAAATTCATGATTTGCAAAGGTTCAATTGAGATTGTCATAACTTATAGTCGTTACCAATTCAATTCATCTTCTCGTTATAATTCTGAAAAAAGCATCAAACTAGCCTTCATAATT